CTTTCTGGATCGGGACTCCCTACGCACAGTCACTCAAGCACTCGTCACTTCTCGTCTGGACTATTGTAACGCTCTCTACATGGGGCTCCCCTTGGGGTACACCCGGAGGCTCCAACTGGTGCAGAATGCGGCCGCGCGGGGGATTATGGGAGTGACTGGGCGCTCCCATGTGACTCCTCTCCTGCGCGAGCTGCATTGGCTTCCGGTGGACTTCCGGGTGCGCTTCAAGGTGTTGGTGATCACCTTTAAAGCGCTCCATGGCTTAGGGCCAGGGTACTTACAGGACCGCCTTCTGCCACCAATAGCCTCCCACCGGCCAGTTCGCTCCCACAGAGATGGCCTCCTCAGGGTGCCGTCGGCTAGACAATGCCGGCTGGCGACCCCCAGGAGGAGAGCCTTCTCTGTGGTGGCACCTACCCTTTGGAACAATCTACCCCCAGAGATACGAGTGATCTCCGACCTCCGGACCTTTCGTCGGGCCCTAAAAACTCATCTCTTTCAGTTAGCCAGTCTCTCTTGATTTTATGATTTTATGGTTGGTTTTAAATTTTGATATGGATTTTAAATTGATAAATTTTAAACTATGGGCCAAATTTAATTATTTTAAATCTATTTTTAATCGTATTTATGTATAAATGTTTTTATTTTGGCTGTTCACCGCCCTGAGTCCGAAAGGAGAAGGGCGATATAGAAATTCGAATAATAAATAAATAAATAAATAATAAATAATAATAAAAGAAAGGATGATTTGTACACATTCCCACACATTTCTGAATAGCACAATGACAAAGTTGGAAGGGACCTTGGAGATCTTCTAGTCCAACCCCCTGCTCGGGCAGGAAGCCCTATATCCATGATGGCGAACCAGGGGTGGGTTCTACTTACCTTTACTACCGGTTCGCAATGGGAGCGCACATGCGTGCGCGATTTGCTTGCTCACGTGCTTCCTTCTGTGCATGCATAGATCATCCATTATGACATCTGGGTGGGTGGACGGAGCCTCCTGCCGCTTTTACTACCGGTTCGCAAGAACCGGACAGAACCGGGAGCAACCCACCACTGTGGCGAACCTATGGCACACGTGCCAGAGGTGGCACGCGGAGCCTCTCTGTGGGAACGTACGCCATCTCCAGCTGCTCTTCTGGTTTCTGGCACACACATACGCGCTGGCCAGCTGGTCTTCACACGTGCCGGAGCACTGGAAACTTGAAGAAGAGCTGGCTCTGGTGCGCACGAAGACCAGCTGGCTAGTGTGCACAGGCGCACCAGCCAGCTGGTCTTCAGGTTTCCAGCGCTCCGGCACACGCGTTCTGGTTTGGGCACTTGCTGCCGAAAAGGTTTGCCATCACTGCCCTATACCATTTCAGAGAATCTCTTCTTAAAAGCCTCACATTTTATGAAGGATTTGCATAATCCTAATCTCAAATGTGTTGCAATTATATAAACTTGTGAAGGATCCCCAAAAGATCATTTAGTTCAATTCCAAACATTTCTATTATACACTGATCAGTTACGAACAGGAAATTATTCATGGTACTGCCTGACTGAGAGGTAGGGGCCGTAGTTGAAATCAGAGAAAATTCGGAAGTGAGCTCTCTTGCCTCCACTTTGTCTAATCTCACTCCAACTCCACCACATGGGTACCTATCAATGGCTTATGTGGTGAAGCAAAAATGGCAGATCCATCAGGTCACAATTTCGGCCACTACTGTATATTGTATGAATGAATGGAAATAAAGTAGTTCTCAGCTGATGACCACAATTTTTGCTGCTAAACAAAAGGGTTGTTAAATGAGTCAAGCCCAATTTTATGACCTGTTGTAAAGCAAATCGCTGTAGTTGTTAAGTGAATCACACAGTTTTTGAGGAGTTATGGCTTTCCCTACTGACTTTGCTGGTCGCAAATGGCGATCCCAGGATCCCAGCATGCAGCATTCATCATAAATATATGCCGGTTGCCGAGCTCCTAAATGCTGATCATGTGGCTGCAGGGATGCTGCAGCGGTTGTAAGTGCAAGGACTGATCATAAATCCATTTTTTCAGTTTCGTTGTAACTTCAAACAGTTGTTAAATGAATGGTTGTAAATTGAGGATTACCTGTATTGTTATTTTCAAGTCTAATCAGAGAAATAGAGTTTTTATTTTATTTATTTATTTATTTATTTATTTATTTATTTATTTATTTATTTAAATTTTTATACCGCCCTTCTCCCGAAGGACTCAGGGCGGTGTACATACATACTAAAACAACATATACCCATAAAATTTAAAAATAGTTTAAAATATATTAAAAATTTGGCCCTTATATTAAAAAGTACAAACACCAATTAAAATTCATTTTCTAAGCCAGCCCAGCCTGTCGAAACAATAGAGTCTTAAGGGCACGGTGAAAGGTATGTAGGTTGGGGATCATGTGAATCTCCGGGGGCAGGTGCCCCCACAGAGAAGGCTCTCCCTCTGGGTGTCGCCAGTTGACATTGTTTGACTGACGGCACCCTGAGGAGTCCCTCTCTGTGGGAGCGTATTGGCTGTTGGAAGGCTATCGATGGCAGAAGGCGATCTCGTACATACCCAAGTCCTAAGCCATGGAGCGCTTTAAAGGTGGTGACCAACACCTTGAATCGCACCCGGAAGACCACCGGGAGCCAGTGCAGCTTGCGTGGGAGAGGTGTTACATGGGTGTGCTGTGTCACTCCCATAATCACCTGTGCGGCCGCATTCTGGACGAGGGCATGAGTGACCATATACATAAATACATAAAATTGTTATCTTAGAGGAAATATCCTAATCTTGCCAAGGCTATCCTGACAAGATTAGTCAATGGAGTTAACATATTCTTGAAGACAGATTTGCATCAGATTTGTCTTAGGTAAATTCTTTAACTTTTGCTACTTCCTGCTCTGTGGCTCAATATTGAGCAAACCAGGACATTGCCCAAGTGCCTGGAAATACATAACAATAATGTTCCTGCTGCAGACACGAATGGTATGTCAGGTAGGAAAGGGGAGGAATGAAACCATTTTGAAACATTTAGACCAATCAAGTGAAAAAGAGTGGGGAACTCTATGGTATTTATAGGTGGGTAATTTGTTCAGGACAAAGAACATTTGGGAAAATAATCCTTGTTGTTAAAGGTAAGTTTGGTCTTCTTTTGGCAAGGGAAGGAGGGGATAAGAACAGGAGGCTACTCTAAGGCTATAGAGTATCTACAGTCTTGTATGTTTATCTGAGAATCCATCCCATAGAACGCCAAGGGGCTTCTGATTGCATTGTCAGGTTACAGATTGCTTGTTTGTTGATCTGACTTTTCTTCATAGAAGATTAATTTTAGTAAATAAATGGTTGAAATGCTGTTATTACCAGTTAAAAACTCAGTAGAACTGTTGACTTAAGAACTGAAATATCTGTCATGGTTTATTTGCACTTTGCTACAGATTCATACTGATCATGGCTAGAGAAATCATTTAAATTTTTTTTGTAAGAATCTAGTGGTTAAACATTTTCTTATATTACCATATTGGTAGCCTACCTAAGAGCAATGTTTTCTGGCTCATTTAAGTAAATGATTTTTCCTCGTCCAATTTATAATTGATTTATTTAAGTGATCCTTGTCTCCGAGATCTTTTTCTCATCAATTAAATTGAATGAATCAAATTCATTCATGGATTTATAAATATTTTAGTAATTTTTCTCCATATATTGCATTGAATTAACATCTTCCTTAATTATAGACTATGGTAGGGGTGATGGAGTTTAATTGGGCAAAGGCAAAGAGTTTGTCGCAAAGATGGGGTGGGGTGGGGAACCTTAAAGCTCAGCTCTGCCTCCTGGAGATGACAACAGTTGGATATCCTGATGTTCTCCATTTGACAAGTGAAGTGAGTTCCAGTTCTGAGGAAATAACTGATCGCCCAGCCTGACTTCTGACAGGAGTGTGTAAGAAAGGCACGTGGTGAGGAAGTTTCTGCAAGAGTAGATATTTGGTGTTACCAGATGTGAATGTGGGTTGTAGCACTGAATTTTTTTTATTTCATCCATTTATACATACAAACATACACATTACTTTCTAATATATGTAGACATGCACAGACGTCTTTCTCTCTGAATGTTGGATAAAGTAAGTAGGCCTGGGGAAGAAAGAAAGATATAGGAATAAGGGGGACAAGAAACATTTATTATGACAGAGTAGAGCATTGCATTGGGGATATAAGATAAGTCATACTGTATGTTGCACCAATACTTGCTTTAAGCATGACATAGTAAATAATATGAAAAATAAATGAAAAATGCATTGCACTGGGCTATATATTCTGTATTCAACTATCTCTGTATATAGATGAATTGTTATTAGTAGGCAGTTATTTTAGAGTTTGCCTTTGAATGTAATTTCCTTTTCTCTCTCTCTCTCCCCTCCCTTCCCCTCCCCTCCCTTCCCCTCCTCTCTCCTCTTCATTTATCCTCTCAGGACCAGCCTGGAATCTTCCCAATGTTCAGTCTTAAAGTTGCCATGGTTGAGTACCCTTTCCCTATGGGTAGAGGAGAACATGGCAGTTGAAGAAATTGTGCTTGTAGGAAGGAACCATGTCACCCATGCCAAAATAGAGCCTCTAAGTAGATACAGATCCTGAGAAATGTTTTTCATGTGATCTCTCATCTGCTCAGAACTGTTTAGTTTCTCTTGAAACCCAATAGTGGTTTTTTTGATAACTCTCCTATAGGCACAGTAAAAATATTGATCTTACTTCTACTCTTTGTTTAAGACCTTCAGATTTCATCTCTTCTCTCATATCCATTATAACACATGCTAAGTTTGATGATGAGGTAATAATTGTTTTCTGTACATGAATATGCAGACTATATCTCTGCTTTCTTGAGAATGAAAGCAAAAGTATGAGAGCAAAGCAAAGACAGCAAAACAAATGATTGCAAAACAGAAATAAAGAATCCTGTTTGAATAAGTATACATGTGTTAATAACAATTACTGGTTTCATTCTCCAGTATCTTCATATCTGCCAAAGTTGAAGCTGGCTTGCGAAAATGTGATTAGTCAAGGTGCTATTGCCACTTGTCCATCAGGTAAGAACCAGGGGTGGGTTCTACTTACCTTTACTACTAGTTCGCAGCAGGGCCACATGCATGCGCAGAAGCGTTTTGGTGATATCGGGGTCAGTCGGCGGAGCCTCCCGCCGGTTTTACTACCAGTTCTATAGAACCGGTGCAAACTGGGGGCAACCCACCACTGGTGAGAACTAATAACTTGTGGGAGAAGATCAGGAGATAAGAGAAGAGTACCGCGTGGGGAAAAAAACCCTCTATCAAACCCCTTTTTCTGACATCTGCCAGCCTTGTGTATGCATGGATACAAAATGCAGACTAAGCTAGATTGTTGAAGGAATCTACTTAGCTTGTTATTTATATCACAATTATTGCAAACACTCAAATAACGTGATGCAGATCTGTATAACCTTCATCTTTTCTAACTTTCTTTTCATTTCCTTTTTTCTTCCTAGATTTTATACCCACTTCCTGTGCCTGTGGAATGGGTTGTGGATCTTGGGATGTTCGTCAAAACTCAGTTTGTCACTGCCAATGTGCCCGTATTGACTGGACTTCAGCTCGGTGCTGCAAAATCTCTCTTACCTGATGTTGCTTTGATGGCAGGTTGGCTCCAGTTTCTGTGCTCAATAAAAGTATGAATCAATAATTCTATGAATTGTTCTCTACTTGAATTTTTACCCAGTGTGCAGCCGGAATTTGATAAATGGCTAACTGTTGAATTTTATGTGTGTATGTATCTGTGTCTGTGTGTCTGTGTTTGTGTTTCACTAGCCCCAAATTGGAAGTAAGTGCTGGTTTCTTTATCTTGTTGCAACCCTCTTACACACAGAATAACAAAAGTCAGTTTGGCTCCTAAGATGTTTTCCTCATATCCTTATTGTGGCTGAAAAAGGAAATTATCCCAAAGGTTTGATTTAAAAAATGCAAAACTGTGTCACAGCTCGCATGCACATATCAAACTTCACCTTGAGAATTGGTTTCATGACAGAGTTTTCGGAAGCGAGCGGCGTGACTGGTTGGGAAAATACCAGGCTCCGATGAGCCTGGCGAAACCCAGCCAGACAAACCGTCCTCTGTCCAGTCCGAGGACTGTCCAGGGGTCCTCGGACTGGATCTGTCCTGTAGGGACAGTGAAGAAGGAGAGGCAGCTCAGTAGCTATAGAGGAACAGGCAAGTTCCTCGGAAAGCCTGAGAAAACTCTTCGATCCGGCGATGGGGGGCGGCGATCAGTGCGAATTGCCATGAAACCGGAGTGCCCGGAATAAATGTTGTGCACGAGTGAAGATTTGTACAGAGTACTGGTACCGGGTGAGTGATTGGCCAACTCACAGGTAATAAAAGAAAAATTGGAAAATTTTAGAATTACCCCGGCGTGGAAATAGCAGCTAAATAGTAACGGGGGGGAGACAACTGATAGAGAAAAAATACGGAAGTGACAAGCACTCTATAGGAGAGCCTGACTAAAGATTTAAAGTTGAATATGAATGAAAATGTTAAGTTGGAATTTGGACTTTTCAGATTTGAATTGGATTATTAACAGATTGGTTGGATATAAGAGTTAAAGAAGAAGTGGGAAAACTTTCCTTTTCTCCTTTTTGAATTACAAACAAAATGGATATTTTTTAACCAGCTGAGTGGAATTGTGGATTGTAGAGAGACAACTCCAGGAGAAATGAGAGTATAACATTAAACTTTCTGTTTTGAGGGAAAACTTTGAAGCAGTGAGAAAAAAAAATAAAACCTTGAACTTTTAAAATGATAAGCTGTGAGAACTAAGGAGGATTTGTGTGTCTACAAGCAGTTAGACTTTGATTATTAAAAAAGGAGGATTATAATGTGGATTTAAATTTGAACAATGTCAACCCAGAAAGAATAAAATGGCGCAGGAACTTAAGGAAATGATGAAGATGATGTGCTTGGAAATAAAGGAAATGATTACAATCTTGCATGTAAAATCGAAACTTGATGAATCTAAGACTGAACTAGAATACATGGAAGCTGAAAAGGAAATAATCAATGAAAAACAGGAAAGAGAGATCGACAACGAAGAAGAAGACAAAGACACTGACTATGGAAAATTAAACAATGAAATATGTTGTAATAATAAAAGGGGGAACCTTAAAGATTACAGTGGGACTAATAATGGGGAATATAGGAAAAAGGGAAAGAAACAAGGAAGGAAAAGAGGGTCGAATAGAAAAAATATAAAATGATTAAATGATTACACTGGGATTTACAGTGGAAGTACAAGAAAGAGAGAAAAGAGATGGAAAATAATGGGAAATAAAGGGCAAAACAAAAGATTTTATGATTTTAAAATACAAAACAAGTATACTGGGATTAACAATGGAAATATAAGAAAAAGGAAAGAGAGAGGAGAAATAATGGGAAATATAGGGCAGAATAGGAGAGCTCAGAATCTTAAAACACAAAAGAAATGAAGAGGAAGGAAAAAGAAAAAGAAAAAAAAAATAGAAGAGGAGAAGGGGAGAAAGGGAGAAAGAAATGAAAGGGGGAATAAATTTAGAATTGTAAGATTTAACAGGTAAGATGAAAGTTAGAAAAAAGATAAAATAGTGATACCAATTAAGTGACTTAAAATGAAATTATAGAGATGTATGAAGTAAATGGAGAGGTGGCATAAGAACCATAAGAACTTTAAGGGTTTTACTAAAGGGGCTTTATATAATTTTTTATGTAAATTTTTAAGGGGACTGGGGAGGGGGGAGGGTTGCGATTTCCGGTTGGTTGGGGGGCCAAGTCCAGCCAGGGGAGGAGAGCGGTGGGGCTGGAGTGGGGACGGGGCCCGATGGCGCCCCAAGGGAGAGGGTGGGGACCTTGATTCTGGTTGCAATTGGGAATGGTGGCAGGTGGATGAACAAAGGGCCATATTGGTGTTTGGGAGCGCCCCCCCACTATCTTCGAGCAGTGGCGTGCTCCGACCCTTTTGGTTCTGTCCAATTCCCTGGGGGTTTGAGAGAGAGGGTCCCTGGGCTTAGGCTGGTTTATTTTAATGCCAGGTCTGTGGTTAACAAAGCTCCCTTCATCCGCGAGTTGATTGAGGAGGAGAACACAGATCTGGCCTGCATTACGGAAACCTAGTTGGTCCCAGAGGGAGGGGTCTCTCTGACTGAACTTTGCCCACCAGGTTTTCAGGTGCTACACCAGCTGAGGGCCCAGGGTAGGGGTGGGGGGGTGGCAGTTGTTATTAGGGAGTCCCTTGGCCCACGGGGGTCCCTTTTCCTCAGATAGACGGGTGTGAGTCCCTCCTTATGAGATGGGGTCTGCAAGGGCAGTTGGGCCTGCTGATTACGTACCTATCTCCCAGCTGCATATCAACAGCCCTGCCCGGGCTGCTCGATGCTCTCTCGGGGTTGGTGGTTGAGTTCCCTAAACTTATTGTTCTGGGGGACTTCAATCTGCTGTCCTTGGGTGGAGCGTTGGGGGCAGCCTGGGAGTTCATGGCTTCCATGGCAGCCATGGATCTGACCCAGATAATCCAGGGCCCGTCTCATGAGGGGGGGCACACCCCCGATCTTGTTTTTATCTCGGAACAGTGGCACGATGACTTCGGTGGGGGAGTACCAGTTATCCATCCCCTGGCATGGACCAATCATCATCTCCTGCGGCTAGGCTTCCAGAATGCCAGCCCCCCACACTGGGATGGGGGACCGACCATCTGGTTCCGCCCCAGGCGCCTGATGGACCTGGAGAGGTTCCAGACGGAGCTTGGGACAATACCACTCTCCCTCTTCCACGCCCCGGTCGAGGCTCTGGTGGATGGGAAAAGGCAGCCTCTGGGGCACTCGACCGTGTCGTGCCTTTGCGGCCTCTGACTCAATACAGATCCCGGCTGGCTCCTTGGTTCACGGAGGAGCTCCGGGAGATGAAGCGCAGTAGGAGAGGCCTAGAGAGCGGTTGGAGAGCCAGCCGTTCTGAATCTGACCGTTCCCAGTTGAGATTGTTCACACTATCCTATCTGGTGGCGATGGAGGCGGCGAAGCGGGCATACTTCTCCACCCTCATTGCGTCCGCAGATAATCGCCCGGCCACCGTGTTCAGGGTGTCCCTCCTAAATCGGAGGGTGGGGGACAATCCTTTGCAGGGACACGCCAAGGAGTTTAGTCAGCATCTGCTGGATAAGATCGCTCGGATTCGGGACGGTCTGGACTCTGACTGGGCAGGGTCTAACGGTGAGGAGGAAGCTGGTCTTGGGATCTGGGAAGAGTTTGATCCTGTCACCCCTGAGGAAGTGGACAGGATCATGGGAAAGTTGAGTGCCACCACATGTGTACTGGACCCGTGTCCCTCCTGGCTAGCTTATGCGGCCCGTGAGGTGACACGGGATTGGATCCAGGCAGTAATAATGGCATCCTTGGATGAGGGGATCTTCCCTGCCACCCTGAAAGAGGTGGTGGTGAGACCCCTCCTCAAGAAACCTGCCTTGGATCCAACCATATTGGATAACTTTCGTCCGGTCTCCAACCTTCGCTTTGTAACGAAGGTTGTAGAGAGCATGGTGGCACGGCAGCTCCCATTGGCCCTGGAGGATACAGACTACCTGGATCCGTACCAATCAGGTTTCAGGCCGGGGTACAGCACGGAGATGGCATTGGTCGCACTGGTGGATGATCTTTGGAGGGCTCAGGACAGGGGATATTCCTCTGTTCTGGTCCTCTTGGATCTTTCGGCGGCGTTTGATAGCATCGACCATGGTATCTTGCTGTGATGACTTGAGGGGTTGGGAGTGGGAGGCACCATTTTACGGTGGTTTTCCTCCTATCTCTCAGGCTGTACACAAGCGGTGTTGGCAGGGGGGCAGAAGTCGGCTATGAGGCCCCTCACCTGTGGGGTCGGTCCTCTCGCCTCTCCTGTTCAACATCTATGTGAAGCTGCTTGGGAAGATCATCCGTGGTTTTGGGGTGCGGTATCATCAGTACGCTGATGATACCCAGCTTTTTATATTCACCCCAAACCAGCCCAGTGATGCCCTCGACGTGATATCCCATTGCCTGGAAGTGGTACGGACCTGGATGGGGAGGAACAGGCTTCAACTCAACCCTGCCAAGACCGAGTGTTTGTGGGTACCGGCATCTTGTTCTGATCGAGATATTCCATCGTTGACCATCGGGGGTGAGATGTTACCCCCTGTGGATAGGGCCCGCAACTTGGGTGTCCTCCTGGATTCACGGTTGTCTCTGGAAGACCATGTGATGACCGTGACTAGGGGGGCATTTGCCCAGATTTGCCTTGTGTGACAGTTGCGTCCTTACTTGGACCAACATGCCCTACACACCATTACTCATGCGCTGGTCATCTCCCGTCTTGACTACTGCAATGCTCTCTACCTAGGGCTGCCCTTGAAAACCACTTGAAGGCTTCAGCTGGTGCAGAATGTGGCTGTGGGTTGTGATGGGAGCATCCTGACACTCCCATGTTACACCCCTCCTGCGCGGCTTGCATTGGTTACCAGTTGCCCTTCGGGTGAGGTTCTGGTTCAGGTGCTGGTTATCACCTATAAAGCCCTTCATGGCCTAGGTCCAGGATATCTGTCGGACCCCCTGCAGCCAGCAACAATCCCCAATCACCCGGTGCGTTCCCACAGACAGGGCCTCCTCAGGGTGCCGTCGGCCAGACAGTGTCGGCTGGCG